ATAATTTGGTACATAATAAATATAGTGCTCTGATTTATTTATTAATCTTCTAGTATTTCATTTCATTATTCTAACGGATTTATTATTTACTTTCATTATACTTGTTATATTGTTAGTTTATTTTATTATTGTTTGTTTATGTCAATACTGATTATTTATTTATTTATTTATTTACATTGATTTTGCATGTTAGTTGCGGCATTCATTACAATGTCTAATTGATTAATATGTGCTATTCTGATTGCCAATGTTTGATTAATTGTGTTGTGCATATTGGCTGATGCTTTGTTTGTGCTGAATTGGGCATTGAAGTGCGCCGGTCCACCATGGGTTGTCCCAGCTGGCGAGGGGGCGCACGGCGATAAAAGCCATGCGAATCCTGATTACTGATAAATATGAAAACTGGACCGTCCGCGGGCCGGGTACAATGGGGAGATCGGCGCTCCCCCGTGTGCACCTTGCTAGTTCACCGGTTACTGTTAACACAGGTTGGCTCTTTATGGCGCACCTGAATAATTCCTAATTTTTGAATCCGCCAGGGCCCGCAGGGTGGCCTCCTGTGTGAGGCCTGATGATCTAGATTTGATGGAGACGACGGTTGCCTCCTGTTGGTATTGAAAACAAGAAAGAGAGGATGAAGAAAACAAGAGAGCTGTCCAAGCGTAGGATCTAGACGGGCTCGGCCCAGTAATAGGGAGATCGGCTCCCTGTGACACATTGAGAGGATGAGCCATGTGCGAGGATACGGCTCATCGGTCGGGTTCGGTTGACTCCACTGACTAATTTCCACGTGCATGTGATTATCTGAAGGTGATTTGAAGGTGATATTGTTTGTGAGTGCCGGTGACATGCCATTTTGTGTGACTGGCTGCGTGAGCATATACTAGTCGGATGACTAGATTGATATATATATATATATTTATACATTTGTGTGAATGTATGTGTTGTGCAATAATGTTACTCCTTAGAAAGCTCACATATCTTGTTTAATTTTCCAGGACGAAAGTTTCTCTTTAATTCGACTAAGCTATGTTCCTTCGTCGCAGAGTTAGAAAGAAATTTTTACTAGACCAATAAATATTTTGCTATGTATCTAGATGTATAAAAATCTATGTATGTTAGTTAGTGACTCCGCAGTTGTAGAAACTGTATACAATTAGTCGTGTATTAACATAAACAATATAATTATATTGAGCCGGTAAAGTTTTAGTGTTTCAGGCTTACTACGGGCTGGGAATTGTTTAATATTATAATTGAGCTGGGTAAAGTTTTAGTGTTTCAGGCTTTTTACTACGGGCCGTCGGGGGGGCCACTTCAGCTTACCGGGCCCTAGTTGCCCGGTCCGGCCCACGGAAACGGGTCGTGGACGGCCCACGGAAACGGGTCGTGACAATTTAGCATCTTTTTTTTTTTTTATTTGGATAGTAATCAAATCGAACTTATAGAAAAACCATGGAGTCGAATAATGGTCATGAATATCCACCCAGTGGAGTAAACGATCGCCTATGACTCAAATATTATGTTATGTCAACTAGATCAAATACTTCAAATTAAGATTGTAATTTTTTTCTTTGTATAAGTAATTTATTATTAGACTTTTTATATAAAAATATAAAAAATAAGTTAATAGTGTATATGCATTTTTTTATACAGCTCATACCATGTATAGGTTTTATTATTGCATATCTTGTTAAAAGGCTTTGTAGGATAGTTAAGAAGGCACATCTTAGCATTGCAATTTTTTCAGCATATGTCAACGAGATAAAATTTTTCACGATCGTCTTATTATACAATTTTATTATTTTTAAATAATATTATAAAAGATTATTTCATCATTTAATATTATTTCGTGCATGTGCGGATTTTAACATTAATTTAATTATATATAAAATTAGTAGGTAAATAATAATACATATTTCGTTAGTGGTATAACCAGGGATATGTGGTTCCAACATATAGCTTAATAATAAAAAAGTTAGCAGTTTAAAATATTTATGTATATATATCTTTTACATTATAAATAATTAACTTAAATTATTTTTTATAAGCTTTGCCGTACTGAATAATTTCCATATCTGAATGAGATAAATTGAATGAAAAGGGATTGATGAATGTCACTTCCCATGTCCATTGAGCATGAACCTTGTCCTAAATGTTCTTTTTTTCTAACCTTTTCAGATCATAAAAATAATATTATATCCATTCAAATGAAAGATAACTATCCATATTCAAATTATTATTTTATTGGAATAAAAAACTAAAATTTTATCCTATTAAAGGCAATAATTCACATTAATATTAAAATATTAAAAAAAACGCCTTTTATAATTGAAAATTCTGGTTAAGAAAATTAGGAGTAAATTCACGCATAACGGTGATCCGAGAAGAGATTGTAAAAAAAAAAAAAAAAAAAAATGGTTACAAAAAAAAAAAAAAAAAAAAAAAAACCTTTTCTATTATTTTAAAAAAAAAAAAAAAAAAAAAACCTTTTCTATTATTTTTTGGAATTACAAAAGTGTATACACTTAATAATTATTTTAAATCAAATATTAATTTCTTTTTTCAAATGAGCACTATGGCTTATTAATAAAGTGATGATTGGGATGGTAGGTGACCTCAATCCTTCTGAGGGTGAGAATATAAATTCAATATTCGATAAGCACATTTTGTTGGGAGATAAAAAACTTTTACGCTCTACAGTTCGAGAAAATTAAACCTCATTATTAAAAAAAAAAAAAAAAAAGTTGAGCTCTATGGCTTGAATCCCACTTGCCAACCAAGAAAAGGTTGATTTACAGCATAATTATGTTTAAGAAATTGATAGAGTAATTGGTTCACTAATAGAAATGGAGGACAGCCATGGAATGCATTATTAAAGAACTAATAATTCATTATTACATTATTAAGAAAATATCAATTAATTGTCTACATCATGGTATAGCTATAGAAATCATAGGATTATAGCCTCCAACTCCATGTAGGTAGGTCAATGGTCACCTATCATTTCATATTATTACTATACATTTAATTGAAACTAAAAAAGCAAACCACTCATTAGAGCATATTATTACTTTAGAATACTAAAAAATAAAAAAAATAAATAAATAAATAAATGGGTGAGTGATGGAAGGCTACCAACCCAACAATGTCCATAAAATACAAAATTATGAAGATTGGTGGGAACTACTCTCTTTAATGAGTTGGTAACTACAAGATAAGTGTTTGGAAAAACTTTCAATTAAAAAAAATATATATTTTTGGTATACAATAAAACTATATAATAGCCAAAGAAAGAAGTGTTAGATTTAAAAGACAAAATGTCAAGTGACTAATAGGGGGAAGACACGTGTTGAAGATATTGTTGTCTCTCTAAATAAATAAATAAAGGAGAAAAATTCACACACCTCTCTTGATGGATGGTAGATTGGAATCAAGATCACCCATAACTCATACCTTTTTTTTTTTTTTTTTTTTTTTTTTTTTTTTTTTTTTTTTTTTTTTTAAAGAATAATAGCTCTTCCATATGATTTAATGTATTTAAAAATATTATATTTTCTTATGCATAACCAATGGAAGTTCTATTTGTAACCCATCAGACTAAAACTTTTTTATTGATAAAAATAATCTGGATTTTTTTTTTTTTTTTTTTTTTTTTTAAAGAATATACTCTTCCATATGATTTAATGTATTTAAAAATATTATATTTTCTTATGGATAACCAATGGAAGTTCTCATTTGTACCCATCAGACTAAACTTTTTATTGGATAAAATAACTGGATCCTATCCAATAATTTATTTATGAAGTCCTTCTTCACCTCCTGTGCCAAAACAAATGATGCATTGAAATCCTGGCAGGCGAGGTCCCAACAATGATGGGCAGCTAACAAGTTTCCCACATCCCTTCGGCTTTGTTCAAAGCTGGATTTTGGAAGTTCATGTACAAATAATTCTTGTACAAAAGAGAAGCCCACTTCTTTTCTATATTCTCTGTTTATATATTCTTGCACACAGATTCAACTATTAGCTTTTCTTTTTTTTTACCCTTTTACCATAAGTAGAATCACTGAGACTAGCAGCCAGCAAAAATACGGTAAAATTAATTTTATTTAAATCTAAAACTTTATTTGTTTCAAATAACTCATTTTCTTGAAGTAAATATGTATTTATAAAATGAGCCTAAATTTAAGAATTCAAATCCAAAACATGATAATGATAAAACGGATACTATCTGAGCATTAGAATTCCAATTTTACTAAGACAGGTCCAAAAACTTACATCTTTCCAAACATGATGGTTAAATCCTTTTTTAAACTATTTCAAAGAAATTCTAGAGCTCATTTAAAAACTAAATATTATTTGATTTGAAACCATATTTATTTTCCAATACTCACGTAATATATAAACTTAAAGTCACCTTTTATTGCAACACTTTTTGGCATGGTAATAACATGCAGCTTGCTAAATGTGACTCCTATCCCTTGATTGCCTCTTTGTTTGTTCCTATACTTTGCTTTCAATAGATATATCCAAAGCATAGATTCGAAAGTATACATTTCCAACATTTACAAACTCTACTAAACCCATTTCTTCAGTGAAAGAGTTCTGCAATTGAAGATTCACAAAACAAGAAAATACTTCCCTTATATTCTTATTCCAATATTAAAATTCTAACCAGTCACATTTGCTAACCCAACTCCAAAGTTCAAATGCCTAATGCATAAATTTGACTTGGAACTTTTGGCCGATTATTTTTATGGCTCCCTGAATTTTGTGAGGGTTCAATGACTCTACATTTTTACATTTCAATAATAACTATGCCCATCGCCAAAATAAAATGTCTTTACACAAGCGTTATTATTATTCAAAAGTGAAGCGGTTTCATGATGGATTCCTCACAAAGTTCAGGAAGCCACAATGATAATCGCCGAAAGTACAAGTTCAAAGTTATGCATTAGGGCAAAGTTCAAAATTTGGTTGATTATGCCATAGCTTATAAACATGAGCAAACAGCATAATAAGAATCTAAATAATTTCATCAGAAACGTATGACAAGCATTATTAACAAGGCAAACCTTTGATGTACTAAAGCTGATTTGAAAAGACAGATTTTTTGGTCTTAAACTAGAAAGGGCACCACTAGTCTCATGTTTGTGTCCAAGCAAGTCTCTCATATCAAGCAAGGTTCAGACACACTAAACTTATGGCTCCCAAATTACTGATTAACCAAGCACTAACATCAAGATACTGGGAGAATATACGAAACTGCAGACTAAAAACTCAACTGAAAATATGCTAATTGAGACTAAAAGAAGACAACTACAAAGAAGTAACAATTTTTAAATTTGTTCTGAAGATTTGCTATATGGGCCCATGTCGTACCGTTGTCCCCCTACTTGATGGCTCCAAATTCAAGTTGAATATACATACTTGACAAGCAACTATCCAACAAGTGTATCACTTGCTCATTTGCAGCTGCGTCTATTGCTGGGAAGGATCAGTTGAAACGTCAAAACCAGGAGGAATAAAAACAACATCAGCCCAGGTTGAAGTAGAACCCTCCTGCAAAGATTTTATTTTGCATTTTACAATTGAATATCTCTGTCAAATTTATGCATAGAAGATGAAAGCAATGATGAAATGTAATTGGGAACTTACTAAGTCTAAACTGGTATATGATGCATGATTTATTTTTGTCTTCCATCATTTATCACCTATGGCATTAAAGGTTACTTCTTAACAGAAATACTGCTTACCTTCATAGACTTTATTATTTCTTCAAAAACAGCAACCTGAATATCGCCCTGCCTGAAAGCAGGATTTAATTTTTTCTGCTCCCGTGAAGCCCGTAGTAGAGACTTATCTAAATCCTCCTAAGCAAGGGTAAAAACGAAAACAAAAAATATAATAATGATTATGCTATGACTGACCAAAGTAGTGGAAGTCGAGAAGTCCATTCTTGTCCACTAACCTTTCTAAAGAATACTGGACGATAGCGCTTGTTTTGGCTGCTCAATATCAAACTTCTTGACTGAAAATTCAAACATTTCAACAGTTAAAACTTGAGCTTATAGAAAAAAAATTTTTGAAGCAAAGGTTTGTGTCCAGTGACCAAAGTATGTATAACATCTGCTACATTCTGAAAGCTGGGTGATGTCAGTGAGCAAAAGCCAGCCTATGGCACCTTTGAGGGCTAGCTATTCGTTAGCCAGATATAAACCCACAATATTTTACAATATTCATATCAGAAAAAGAAAAGAATTGATAATGCTAAGTTAAACAGATAGATCAGCTCTAAAAGACTTCAATTTTGTGCCATAAATCAAAGCAATCACATAATGCATATCTCACAAGCACGCATGCGCACACGCAGAGCAAACAAAATGGCCCAGGTAATTTGAGTTTTGCAAATAGCAAAAAGTCCTTGGCCTGAAAATTTGGTGAAGACACTACCTTATGCAGGCATGCAAACTCCAAGAGCTAGGAAATTTATTTCAGCAATCAATAAAAAGCAATACAGGACAACATAATAATATAAAATGCTAAGCCAACAGAATTCTGGCATTCACAATAGCAAGCACAGGCATATGCCAATCGAATAAAGGAGTCCAAATTCATAAAAAAATAATATTTCAAAGCACATTTCATAAGTAAATAATGTTTCAAGCGGAGGCATAGTTTGGCCAATCCTACAATTATTTTTTCATCCCTTTCTGGTGGAGAAAGACTACAGATATTGCGTTCTTTAAATAATTATTTAGAGGTAGTTGTATCATGAGCAAGTAATCCTCAAGTAAAAAAAAATTGGACATTTGTGAAAGGAGCTAGCAGTGGTGCTTAGTTGTTGTGCTTACTGCTTAAAACAACAAAGGAATACAAGAGTACAGCTTTGTCCAGGAAAGTAGACAAGGAAGTCAAAAATATTGTTAGAAGTAGAGACAATAGATAGAGAGAGAGAGACCAATGCAAAACACCAGGAAATTGAAACATGTAAATAATAGTTAAAAAGGCACTTGAGTGAATAATTAACAAGTGCCAAGATGATAATCTGCACAAAGAGAAAGAGGGGAGAAGTGATCAACTGGGCGAAAATCCCAAAAATAAAATATAGAGGGAATAATGATATTATAGTGTTAAGTGAGAGAATGTTATCAACTAGTACAGTGAGGTCCAAGAGTACTTTCACCACATATACATGCCAACGTCTATATGAAGTACAATTGAAGAACATCCAAAGTACAGCTGGAGCAATTAATGCAAGCAGAGGATTACAGAGAGGTAGAAGTGTGATAGATAAAAATAATCCAGCTACTAAATGAAGTGCAAGGAAAGGTGGAAGCAGACTCAGTAGAGATGCAATGGACATAGAAAGAGAGGCAAATCCACTAGGGATTGGTGCAATGCCACTTAATATGGAACAAGTCCAAAAATGATTTAGTGGGTTTTTGCTGATGTTGAACATGCTTAGCTATGGGGTTCACTAGGATTGGCAGCAATTGATACAAATGGTTGAAATAGAGGTATATGAAATACATCTGAAAAAAGTTAAAACCGCTAGAACACTTAGCTAAATTCTTCTATTTATTTGATCATTAACCCTTTCTTTTTTTCCAAAAGTAACTTAATTAACACCCGAAAATAGAAAATACAACAAACCCAAACTAATAGAAACAGTGTCTTGGAACTGGGTTGATAATTTAACAGATATGTAACCTCCAACTTTAATTCAACAAAATTTAGACTTATTACCAGAAAACTTGAGATGGCTATACTTCAGCTTGGTATCAATCACCTGCTATGCAGGCATCAACTTTTTTACTTTTTCATAGTGCATACATTCAAGCATATACATCAACTATAATAGAATACTTACAAAAGCAAAATTAAGACATCTTCAAAATATGGTAAAGATCTGCAATAGCCACTGTTAACAATCAGAATTGAGATTTGAGAGTATTTGATAATTGGTCCTCCTTGGAGTAAATTTGACGTATATATATTGGAATCAAGATAAATTCTACTAGGATAAGGATTGTGAGAATCTTGCATTATCTGTTCGTTAGAGTTTATTTATGAATGTAATATCCTTTAATATATTTATATAATGTTCTTTTATGTATTTTATTATTATATATTATCAGCCACTATCTTGCTTGTGAGTCATAAATTTCATAGAATGCTTTTTCCATTCAGTTACATAGTTCCCAGTGCATTATGCAACATTCCTCATGCTTCAAATAAGTAACATAAAAGCATAACACCTATTGGGAAATTCATTAATTGGTCAGTAATTCTAAAATAGGAACCTGGAAAACTGGAACTCCAGAGAAGCCATCATCAGATATACCAGCCTTTTCCATCTCCTTGAAAAAAAGGAAAAAAAAAAAGAACAAATAAAAAAATCAATGAATCACATTTAGTGTATACACATTGATAAGAAAAAGTAACAGTAGAGTAAATTGGACAAATTGTATTCTAAAGATATTGAGGCAGAGCAAATATTTATGACTCAAGCATGAGAATACAAATAATACGCACACAACCATCATTGAAGAGTCCCCACAAAAATCAGATGCCATGTAAGACTTCCTTTTGATTATGATTTAAAATATAAATAATCAAGATTTGGCCAAAAAAAAAAAAAACTCAGGTTCAGTAGAGTACCAAAATTGCAAACTTAACTTGTTAGATGAGAAATATATCCCAAGTCAATACTATGAAAAGAAATAAATTAATCCCAAACAGATAAATAATTCATTTCTATAGGCTTTGCTGCTTCCTCCTCATTATCACACACTTTTACTGAAACATAATATGTTAAACAAATTGGTGAATAAGTCCATTATCACACATGCATCTATATAACTACAGAACTATGATCTAATATGGCATTTTCGACGATTGAATATATGGCTTTTCAACTTGAATTCAAGCACCTCACAAAGGTACCCCAAAAGTTGAAATTATTAATACCATCAGTATGATGATAATCCAAACATCGGAAGCAACAGTTATGGTGACTGAACTGAAGTGATTCACTTCAACCATATACCATTTAATACACATACCTACATAGATATTTTAACTCAATAAAGATCTGTCCCTTCTTTGATTTTATTCACTGTTTTGAAAAGTTAGTCCCTTGTTTATGTCATTCATCTTTTTGGTTTTTCGCTTTTTAGGCAGTGAAAACAAGACCTGAAAACTTCTTTCTTAATTCAGACCTGCTTTGAGCTCATTTCGAATGGCATCCATATTCAGTTCCCTAAGTTTAGCTGGTTGTCACAAAGCAATGCATGCGCACACATACCTGCATGCAATGCTGTACATTGACAGGTACTTATGCATGATGATACACTGCCAACTCGCGGGTCAGCACACAGGCACATAGAATGCTGCTTATGTGTGGTATTGAGCATGCACAGAGGGACACTGAATGCTACTGTACCAAAAATCATAAATAAATTGCTCCACAATAGTGTAGATGCAAAGATGAAACTGCAGAGCTAGCTTATTGAACAGAATTTAAAAATCCCAAAACCTTATTTTCTTTAAGGATCTTTTGGAAATGATCAAGTATTTTGATTCTTATCATTTTGATTTTTTTATGAATTTTCACTTCAAAAACAAATGCAAATGCTAAATCATTTGAAATGCCTACCTATGCAAATGGAACCTAAATCAATAAAACAAAATTTTCCATTTAGCCAAAAACACACTCACCCTAAGCGCATTCTTGACTTGGGATGACTCTGGTATTAACCTAAATGCTACGCCTTGAACCTTTAGCTGAAAAACCTAAAAAAAAAACCACCAAATGAAAGGGGAACGAATTAAACGACAGAAGCAACAGCATAAATCAGAATATAATATGCCGAAGAGAAAACCACCTTGTTTAAAGCAACGGCAACCACTTTTGACCCACTTTTTCGCATTCCAGGATCCATGCTCTTCATTTGCTCAAGAAGAGCCTCTGCATCTTCCTTCTTGAAACAAAGCAGCCCCAAGGACTTCGCCGTGGAAACTCCAGAAACCAGCACAAATTCTTCATTGGGATTGCTCAATGCATACACAGGCACGCCAGCCAATCTCTCTTCAATGGTTTCAGTAGACATTACAGTGCGAGATTGTCGAACTGGCTCGAGTGGAGTCTTGGTATCATGAGGAATTCGAGCCCAAAGTGGTTTGCATAAAGAGGAAGGATTTGGGTTGAAGAAAGAGATTGTATTATCGATCACTTGTCTTGTGTGGTTTTGGAGGTTGCAGAGAGTTGTTTGAAAATGGGTTTGATTGAATAGAGGAAATTGCGAGAGGTTTTGGACGACGGCAGAGCAATGGTTTTGGAAACTAGCGAAGGGCTGGATATTGAATTGTGGGAATTGTTCGGATGGTGGGAAAATTTTTACTTTGTCTGAATTGGTAGAATTCATTATCCTGGAAAAATGGGGAAATAAGGAAATGGGTTTTGCAGATTAAAAGGAAATAGCAGACAAATTGAAGAAACGGGAAAGGAGGGAAAGGCTAAAAGGTGAAGACTATTCGCGGGGACGAGGGTTTTGGGTTATTTATTTTTTGTTTATTTTAATGGAATGAGGATTTGGGTTTTGGAATTAAAAAATTTATTAAAAGTGATGTTAAACGGCAGCGCAAACTTTGTTGTTTGGACAAAAATACCCTTTCATATTATTATTATTATTGTTGTATATCTTTAATCTATCTATAATATATATAAAAATACGAACGGAGAACATTGGATTTCTAAATGCCCCTACTAAATTGATGAATTGATAAAAATATCATTATTAATCATATTCTAATTATGATATTAATTTATTATTTTTATTATATTAATATTATAAATTTAATTTCATTTTAATTAGAAATTTTGTCCTATCGTACCACTATATATATATGTTTAGTTTTAATTGTTTTTGGTTATCAAGAATTGTTACATCAAACTTTTGATAATTTGAAATTATTGAATTTGCAATCACGTCTTTTTATTGCGGTAAGTATAACCTTAACTCTCTCTCTATTTACAAATTAATAGAATAGTTTTTTTTTATAGTTCTTATAATTTAAATTTTTAGATTAACTGTAATCGTCTAGTAATCGTAAATAATTACAAGATTAAAACATTTTTCTCTTGAATAGCATTATCAAGAAATATCTTAAAGAGATGAATCTCTAATTGAAAAAACTTTAACTTCATTTATCGATTAAAATTATATAATAATTTTAATTAGATAGATTATATTAGTTTCCTTAGTCATATTATTTTTATCAATTAACAAATGTTGTTTCATTAGAAACGGAATTTTTTTCTATTTCTAAATTTATAACAGAAATAAATTTTTCTTCCGTTGCTATAAGCGAATTAGCAACCGAATTTTGTCTGCTTCTAAAGTTGTAACCAAAATTCAGAAGCTATTTTCACTGCATATCTCTTTCCACCATATTCTTTGGTTACTTGCACTTCCTTTTCTCTTTTCTTCCTCGTTGAATATAGACAGACGAAATTAGCCAACCGAATTTTGTCGTGCACTTTCTCTTAGAGGAGTTCGCTACCCCACAAAGAATTCCAGAAAAGCTATTATTCACTGCATATCTCTTCCCCACCATCATCACTGCTCTTTGGTCTAACTTGACACCTTCCTTTTTCTCTTTTGCATATCCTCCCTTTGTGAATATAATATATATTTTATTATAAAAATATTAAAATTTTAATATTTGGATTGTAAATATGTAAATATTTTAATCAAGATAATAATATTAAATCTATATTCTTTCTATTTTTTTTTAGTTTCAAAGATATTTCGTATGGAAATCAAAATAGCTATAAGAAATTTCCAATATTCAAAGTATACAATAGAATGGAAACTCATAATTTATCTTTCTGCATGTCGCTAAGACATCTTCAATTTTTGTGTATCGATACTCAAATATAATATGTTTTATTTTTTAATTGTGCTTTTTAAACTATCATGATGATTGGTGTTGCATATTGAATTAATCAAGAATTAGATTATACCACACACTATTGTAATATTTAAAAGTTATTAAAGAGATTGCATACATGGTCTTCTTTTGGCGGTAAGAGATTAAATATTAACATCATCAAATTAATAAGATAGTATTTTATTTTTATAAGTTATCTTTATAATGTTAGGTAATCCTTTCTAGGCACTCCACTTATTTGTATTTAAGGTATTGAAAGTGCGGTCCTCCATCCAAGAATAATACACTATAAGGCTTAACATAAATTATAATGGAATTGAGTACAAAAATAATTATTTGAGAAGAAACTTTTATATTTTTAATTTGTTGAAAAATAAAGATTAGTTTAATTTTTGATTGTTTATATTAAGTTCCTATTCTCGAATCTAAATTTGTATATTGAGAAAAATTATTTAATTTTAATTGTAATTATGTAACTTTTACTATTGGTTAAACATAGAGTAATGTTTATATAAATTAATATCAATTAATGAAATTATACTGGAATCAAGACTTAATATTAGACTTTTAATTATCACTATAAGTACTATATATAGTATAGTATAATATATATCTAATAATAAGTATATTTTGAAAGTCTAAGTATATATTATTCATGTCGTGATGTTTATTACTAGAATAATCATCGCAACTCAAGATCAAGTAGGAGATTGGACTTTAAATTGTTTCCACGTTATTTATCTATCCATTATTTGATTAAATTGAAATTGTCTCTTTATTTTAATCCTAAATTCCTATTAGAAAATATAATCTTCATTTCTAGTAATAATGAAAGTTGATAATATTACCTATATAGTCAGCTGAATATACAACATCGTATTTGAAATAAATTACACTATAATATAAATAATAGTAAGTATTAATAATTTACAATAGATTTGATATATGTATGATATATTACTATATTTATCATATTAATATTGAAATAAATAAACATAATTGAATTGAATTAATTAAGATATTATAGCCATTCATTATAATAAAATGATTTATTTTAATGTATGATATTTTTTTTATGACATAGATAGGTATATTTATATATATTAAGTAGTAAATATATAATAGTTGTATATATATATAATATATATATATAAATAATATATAGAAGGAGGAATATAAATATTGAAGGAGGGATATCTGAACTTGAATCTATTGTTAGGCCGTACATATACTTACCACTAGGCTATGCTTGGATGTACATATAATATATAATTTTTAATTTATCTGTTGGCCTATCATAATAAGAAAATATTTTAAAAATATAAATTATTAATTTCAAGAAATTAATCACAAATATTTTATTATTTCATCAAAACAATAAAAATTTTATGTACTATATTATAAATTATGCAAGTACAGATTAACTTGAAATTCAAGTTAACTGATAGTTGTAATATAATTTTACAATTAATTGTCCTCGCATAGATTCTATACTTTATAATAATTATATAATTACTTTGTTATCAAACATATTATTTTTGAATATAAGCAATCATTACTATTAACAATTATATCTCCCATATTAATACATCTCTTTAAATTATTTATTAATTAATGTGTTATGTAAATTTCCTATTTAATCTAAATTCTATTAAAATTTTTAATTTTATTTTATTTAAGAAAATTGTCTTTTGTTTCTTTTAAATTAGGAAGCTGTCCTATCATACCACTATCTATATATAGTTTTAATTAATTTTGATTATCAAGAATTTGTTGCTCTTGACTATCAATAATTGTTATTCAATTTGTTATTGATACTTATTTTATAATTTTTTTAATATAAATTAAATTATTTTTTAATTGTTACTATTATTCAATATATTATGAATTAAAAACTTTTAATTTTATTGACACTTTATTGGGATTCCTGTACATGCAAAAATATTATAATTTGAATATTAGAATTCTTATAGCTATCTTGCTCTTTCAACTTATAAATATATATCAAAAAATAAAGAAAAAAAAAAGGTTAAAGATTCATAACAAGGAGCGAGTTTAAGGCTTCTACCGAATAGGTTATCTATTTAGGTTACATTTTTAGCAATGATAAAAAAGTTGTGGCTAATCCGTTTATAAAGCCTTTTACCAACTCTTAGCAAGGGAAGGTTTTTGCCTGAAAGTTATAATTTGCAACAGATAAAAATCCGTTGCTAATATTAGTGAATAAAAATTGTACTACAAATTCAAATATATATAATTATTCACTAAGATATTTTTATTATATCAATTAAAGAGTTTCTATTTGTATTTAATTATAAATTTTAATTTATAATAATAGTGATATATGTAAAAGTAGGTATATGAAAGAGAAATGTTGAGATTAACCAAGATACCCTTATTAAATTTAGAGATAAAAAAAATAATTTTAAAAATTTTAATTTTGTATTTGAAAAATTAAAAACTTGGTGAAAATAATTAAAGAATGTATTGCTACCTATATAAGAAATAAACCCTAGAGACAAAAGATAAGAGAAAAATTAAAAACCCTCGTTGCTACTTTTACAGTGATTTTATTTCTTTAGACTAATATAAATAGTTTGTTTAATGAATTTAGGTTAATTTTTTTACTCTTTTGAGCTTAAAGAAAAAAGATTTCTTCTAATGCAATCAAGCCAAGAAATAAATTGCGTTCTTAATTTTTATTAATTATTGTAACTTGATTCATTTCTCTCCCTTCCTTGACTATTATATATATTGATTTACTGCAATTTGTTAATAAAGTTTAATTAATAAAAACCCTTTGCTTTATCATTATCCTTTGTTTTTAGAGATATTAATTAATTATTTTACTCCTAATCTCTTAACTAAATTTTATGCTTTTTTTAAGAAGAAATTGATTTTTATCTATTAATTCTTATTTAGAAATTCATTATATAATTAAACATTATATTTTAATGCATTTATTTTATATGTTTTAAAATAGTAAATGTAACGAGTAGATACAACGAATATAAATAATTTGCAATGCACGTTAAATAATACTAGTATTCAAAGGGCATGAATGGTTTACTGTTGCCATAACAGTATATTTACCATTCAACCTTTTTTTCTTTTTGCCCTTTATAATAGCAACTCTCAATAAAACTTTTTTTTTTTTTTTTTTTTTTTTTTTTTTTTTTTTTTTTTTTTTTTTTTTTTTTCTACTATAAGCCAATTAGCCCAAAACTTTCAACCCGACTATAATACAATCTTCATTTTTTTTAGTTAAAATGTGCCTATTATATAATTTTCCCAAAAAAAAAAAAAAAGTGCTTACACCATCACCATTGTTATTATTAATAAGTGATAATTTTATAAATTTATTCTATGAATTTATTGTTCATTTATATATTATTATGTATATTTTTGCTCTATTAGTATAAGTACAAAATTCTAATGGCAAATTTGTTTACTTTGTTGAATTATATATATATATATATATAAAATAAGAAGAAGAAGAAGAAGAATTTCACTTTGAAATTCTCAAATAATTTTCTTTTCATATTGACTATATTTAATTTTTTTGACAGAATAATAAATATAAGAACATGGTTTGCCCAAGCAAGCTTTTTTTTTTTTTTTTTTTTTTTCC